TTCATTTTTCCTTTTATTTTTTCAAAATAAAACAAGAAATATAGCACGAGAGAGATGAAAAATAATGCTCAAAGCAAAATGTTGTTCAGCACATAATAGTTTACTGGAAGAGTATTTTGTTATAAATCATACAAAAATGTTGCTGTCAGAGGAGACACCCAGTTCCGACACCTTCAAGCCAGATGCAGAAATGAAATTGACATTAGCCCTAACTCTAATCTTTGGAAAAATCACAAATAGAGAAAAGAGGGATACCTAAAATAAAGAAAATTGGTGGGGGAATATGAATTTGTGATGTGTGGGTCATGGGTGTAGCAAATTCCAACAAATTAGCTTAAAGATCTTTAAATTAATTTCCTCTTTTTTTTTCCTCTCACTTTTCATTATGTTTTCTAATTTACAAATTTCAACCAAATTTGTAATTTCTTTTTTCTAAGATTTCTAGTTTTTAAGCATTAATTAAATCTTTTTGGATGGAATGAAAAAAAATGAAAAAATTTGGTTTTGAAATATATAGATAATATGAAAAGGTAAAAAATAAAATTTGTAATTTTTGGGAGTTAATACTTAAATAATATTTTCATTTAAATCTATTTTCCAAAATCTATTAACGATTTCTGTTTTTGGTTATTGATTTTTTTTTTTGTTTTCTATTTTTTGGTTTTAGTTTTCTATTTTTAAAAAACAAAATTCATTTATGTTTAATAATTATTTTTTGTTTTTGAACCAAATATGTTTGGTAACTATTTTTATGATTTTAAAAAGTTAGAAAATTGAAAATATATATAGAGAAAAAAATTATATATAGAGTAATAGATGATAATGGTGTGGGAAGGAGTAAGGATGCCCTCTCCCATTGGTGCTCATGAAAATTTTTAGTCCCTCATCTTCACCTCCTTCTTTTGTTCGACAATCGAGTTTCTGGTTAAATAATATATATTTATTTGGGGAGGTGAACACTCGCGTGAAAAATTATCCATTTTTTAATTAATTTTTATTATTTTTAGAATTTAAAATTTTAAAATGTGTAATAAATATATATTAATTATTTTTAGAATTATTATTTACTAGTATAAAATAATTAGTTTTAAAAAGCATTTAGTATTTTATTGACAATTTAGTAAACATGTCAATAAAATATATATTAATTATTTAAAAAATGGAATAAGAGACGGTGGTAAGGGTCAGGACCTGCCTTTTCTATTTTTGGAGCGGAGATCCGACCCTACGAAAATTTTTATCATCCTTAATATATAGACATAAAAATAAACTTTTTAAAGAAACATTTTGGAGAGTTGATAGATAAAAAGATTTAAGAAAAAATTTAGAGAAAATAGTAAAGTTGAGATGAAAAGATAGGTTAATGTGGAAAAAATTAGAAAGAAAAAAAAATTGTTGCGCGAAAAAAAAGTAGAGATAAAAACAAGATTTTCAAATATATATATATATGGAGAAATAAAAGTTACAGTAAAAGAAAGTTAAACGAGAAAGAAAATAAAAATAGATTGAGAAACAGAAAAAAAGTTATGCAATATCAAATTTTAGAGAGAGAAAGATTCGAAAAAAATCTTATATTTTTAGAGAGGGGAATGATCTGTCGAGATAAAATGAAAAATAAAAAGTAAAAATAAATAGAGATAAAAATTATGGGGAGGGAGAGAAATTAAATATTTCATATATTAAAATTTTAACAATTAGAACTATAAAAAAATCATTTTAGAGTGAGCAAGAAATTTCTTAAAGATAAATATGTCACATAAATATGTCACATAAAAATGGTTGAGTATTAATAGAAAAATGAGATTCTAAAAAAGAAATCTCTTTTTAAAAACTACTTTTTTTTAAAAAATTTACATAGAATTTGAAAATCGTTTTTTGAAAAACAGAAAATTTAATTGATTATCAAACATGTTTATTCACCATGATGACTACTTATGCAAGTTACGACAGCTTGGATATTCGTGGAGACCCAGCTGAACTACTGGAGATAGCCAAGACACATATTTAATACTTAGTTGAACCTTAGTCTCATACCTTTTCTGCTTGACATTAGTCGAGCTAACCAACGGCGTTTATGTTGGTTGACTAAGTTAGCTTAAGTAGGTGCAATCCTCTAACGGAATCCACGACAACATACCACGATTCTCGGGTTGTTGAAGAATCATTAGAAGGCTGTTGGTAGGGTTTCTATCGGAAGCCTAGCCTATAAATAGAGACCTCCTGCCTCATTTTTAGGTATATGAAACAACAACATCCTTCACTTGCATTCGTCTCCCTCGTCAAGATTTAGTTTGTCATTACTGATCACTTTCACATACTTTGTCAATTTCTTCATGAAACAATAATTTACCTTGAAAACATATGTCATTACAAATGGGGCAGACACATGGGACTTGTTTGAAGCTAAACAAACCAACAAAAATTCATAATAATCATCAAACATAAGCAAAGCTCACTTCATCCACAAACAGAATTATCTAAATATAGGAAAAAAGTATTTTGAAAGGGAAAACGGAGGTGTGAAACCTTTAGTGATGTTAAAAAATTGTCACAAAGTACCAAAAATCATGCATTTGTATATATTTGTTGTCTCACTAAAACGTGAGTAATATTTTACAACATTTTTTAAATAGAATTAAAATCTTAAATTACATATTTACTTTCGGTGAAATAAAATGTCACAAATGACAAAAAATTTATAATTCTTCATATTTTCCCGAAAAAAAAAAATTGCTCATCCATTTCATGACATTTTTTAAACTTCAAGAAAAGGAAAAATTCTTACCAGCTAGTCTTTTCCAGCCAAAAAATGGGTCACACCTTTTGGTGACGTTTTTTAAACATAAGGGAAAATGTAGTTTTCCAAATTATTGAAAAGAAAAATATCTAATTTTCCCGCCAAAAACAAGCCTCATCTTTTCGTGACATTTCTTAAACGTCACAAAAAATGTAGATTTCAAGCTTTTCGTGATGTTGTCCAAAAAGAATCAATTTTCCCACAAAAAACGAGCCTCATATTTTCGTGACAGTAAAAAAACGTCACGAAAATAAAACTTTTGTGATGTTGTTTAAACGTCATGGAAAAGCTAGAAATCAGAAAAAACTTCGTCTTTTCCCGCAAAAAACGTGCCTCTCCTGTATTTTCTTCCAAGTTTTTGTGACAATTAGAAAAACGTCACGAAAAGTCAAAAAATCGGAAAACTTCGTCTTTTCCAGCCAAAAATGCGTCTCACTCTTTTGTGATTTTTTTTAAACGTCATGAAAAACGTATTTTTTGTCAAACTTGTCACGAAGGTTAAAAAACGTCACGAAAAATAAAAAATCCAAAAACCTCCGTTTTTGACTTTTGTGACAATTTTTTTTCTTTATTTTCAACATTTCTTACTGTTTCCTAACATCACGAAAACCCCAAATTATAGTAGTGCAATCACTTCATGGAAATGGACAATAAATGGGCCCCAGCTCACCATAACATGCATTTTTCCGTTTTACTGTAGTAATTTCTCAGGTAAAAGCTGTCACTGTCAACTCTGTCTTTTACTGCCTTTTTGATTCCGATGCTGCAACATCAACAATGCTGCAGCAAAACATTCAAAATTAGATCATTTTTCATAACTCTCAACATTATCATAAAAAATAAGGAAGATAGTGAATTTATAACATTCTTTGCACAAAATCAGTGAAGATTGGGTGTTAGTGATGCTATCCTTAACTAATTTATATGGAATTCTTGCACAAATAACTCTCTTTTGGAGAGTTATCACTTCCCTAAGTAATGGAGCTGTGAAATAGTTGCTGAAAGGTGAAGTTATTTCCTTGGAGGATGAGGAACTTAGTGGATCTCTTACCGAAGGTCCAACAAGGAGGACAGTTCTTGAGTTTTTAGTTTCTATGAGACTTAAGCTCCAATGTGTGTGATGTACAGTGAAAATCCATAGCCCTTTATTGGGTGGTCTGTATAGACTTGATGAATAATACACTTACATTGTGATGTACTATGAGAATCGATAGCCCTTTATAATACACTTACGTTGTGATATATTATGAGAATCTATAGCCCTTTATTTGGGTGGTCTGTATGGACTTGATGGATGATATATGAAGTTTTCATAGCTCAATTTTTTAGTGGTTTATCTATGATAGAGATTTGATGAAGCAATAACGTGATTGTAAGATTTGATGAAGCAATAACGTGATTGTAAAGGTGGACCGCCTTCTACGAAAGAGTTAAATGGTCTCTTTCTAGAGCTTTCACGATGAACCCAAGGTTTTATGTGCATGACCATTAATAGCACTTAATTTATATGGCGGAATCGAAAAACAGGGAATAAAATGTGTTGTGGGGGTCTCAACCATAATTATTGGAAGTTCAAGAGCAACTCACTTTCATTATTTAGGTTGTTGCCTCACTTCACCACCAAAAATAGTATATTGTTTCGACAAAAATAGAGTAGTATAAACTTTTTATGAGCTTGTTTTTCGATTCTATTTGGTTTTGGCGAGTGCACACTTGAGTTCGAAGTTGTGTTAACCTTGAGGAGCAATCGGCTTGCATACAATGTATTACCTTGGTCGTGCCGAAATTACTTTTAGGACAGTGGCTTCATCCACGACGCAACGATCTTTTTCTTTTAATCCTAATTGTTCCAATATTACATGTATGATATATGATATTTTAGAGTTCATATTTTTATATGAAATGCGATAATTATGGTAGAACTTAATTTTTATATGAATAATGTGATAATGGAGAATTGTTGGAATATTTATGTTAAGAGTTGGTTGACATAATTAAATAGTAGGGAAGTACTAATTTTTACTCTACTCTATTAACTTTGAATTGAAAACACATATTTTGTATAAAGTATGAAATTAATACCCCATCAATATCATCAAAGTGAACATAACTCAATGGTAATTGACATATATCTCCAACCAAAAGATTGTAAGTTCGATCCCCATCCCTACATCCTCCTCGTGCATTTCTACCGATCGTATTGTAGATAATAGCTTTTTTTTTTTTCTTTTTTTAGCAATTCAATATTTTTTTAGCCAATTTAGCTCAACGATAATTGACATTGACCAAAAAGTCATGAGTTTGAATTCTTTCACCCCTACTAAAAAATATTTTTTTAAAATAAAATGTAATTAAGCCTAATTAAAAATCTACCTTAAAAAAAATTAGATCAAATGGTCGTAACTTAGATAATTAGCTTCCAAGCACTTTCTTCTACTTGTTCCATGGCTACATAGGAACATCATTCTGTAGTATCGAGTTACGATTTTTGGACTTGAGTTTCAAGAACCATTCTTTGAGCCGTTGTTCTCTACTCCATCCCATTAATATTATTTGTGGGAACAAATCTTATGGTACCATTTGATCCTTTTAAATTTTTATTTTTTTTAAATTTAGTTTAAAGTTTGTTAAAAGTAAAAAAAATAATGGAAGCCTACTAGGGCGGGACTAAGGGAATTTTTCGTTTTAAAAAATAATGATTGAAGAGACGATCAACGACGCCAGGAAAACTGCACTATTATTGGTCGTCTCTTGAGAGACATACTACTTGTTAAAAAAATTAATTACAACTACCATCGCGTCAGAGATGACCTCCTATCGAAGTGGATTAGAAGAGATGACGACCTAGCGGTGGAGGAATTTTTGAAGTATTACTTTTTGGAATAGGTTTGAAAGTTATAATATTATTTTACCAAATAAGTTTTAAAATTAATTTAATATTTTGAAAACATCCCTATTAATTTTACCATTTATTATTAATCTTATCTAGAACTACAATTTGTCATTATATATAATCAATTTATTATTATGGTACTCAAAGTTTAAAGGACTGTTTTATAAGATACTTAAATATCGGTCTATCAGCATTCATCTTTCTACTAATTGCTACTAAAAATTTAACTACTAATTTTCTATTATTTTTTTTCTAGTAGATATTATCTTAAGACTCCCACGCCATTTTGAGAGAACTTTTTCAAACTTATTTTGAAGCATGCATGAACTATATCAGTCCACGTTAATTTAAATTTTCTCTTTTCAAACAGAAGTGAACAATATTTAATTGTCAATGTAAATTCTTCCAAGTTTCAATTCCAAAATAATATTAACCAACTATAAAAGTTTACTCCCATTCCATATAAAAGAACAATAGACATACACAATATTTCACATTATCTCCAACTAGGGACATGGCATAGAGTAGACCCAAACATAACATGTGCATATACAGTAGATGCATTAAATATTATTATTATTTAAACATAGATTTGGAAGCATATAGTACAAGCCAAATTAGTACTCCATAGCACAAGTCAGCAGCAATTGAAGAAATATCAAAACTCTTTCCATAAAGGACACAATTATTTTTTGATTTGCTTGTGCTTTTTTGCCAAGTATAATATAATTGAGGAGAGACAAGAACATTATAAGAAATTAATTTACGAAATTAATGTATAATGGTTAAAATTAATTAGGAATGTTTTATAACTTTAAACAAAAAATTAATTTCATACATAAATTTAAAACGTATTTGGATACTCCTCCSACTTCTAAATCTATAGTTACTTGCTTTACTTGAAAGAATAAATTTCTTGTAAAATATACTTTTCTCTTGCCATTCCTAATAAAAATTACCATACACACCATTATAATTGTTGAGGTTAAAAAATAACATCAATTAATTTTTTTCATCCGGAAACCCTTTTCCCCCTTCCTCTTACTATTTTTAGAGATTTATGTCAGATGGGGAGTAAAAAATTTTATATTAAATATTTTAAATTGTAAATTTCATATTTTATTACTTTGTGTTCAAGAAAAAAACGATCTCTTAATACAATTTAAATTCTAAATCTATTTTTTTAGATCATAATATGAGTATGACTATATCTCTTGGAGCTTTTTTTCTTCTTGTTTTTCTTTTAAAGATGTATATACAATCATCTTACATACATGTATGATATATGATATTTTGGAGTTAATATTTTTATATGATA